TACATAAGCAAAATAGTGTCCTCCATGGAGTATGGAAAGAAAGAACATTGTTGTGTTTACTTATTTATAGAGTGTGGCTTCACAAAGTGTGTGTACCAGGAAAACATTTGCATACTGCCAGTTTTAAAATAACCATCTTTTATGTGCATTTGGTGACTGAATATTAATGCATAATAAAAAAGTACAGTACAGTGCTCTATTTAATTCTTTTAGATGAATTAGTGCCAGAGCAATGAATATTTTATGGATGCAGTAGTTTTAATTGACCTTCTTTGAAATAGTATTATCAGTGATATTAAAATGTATGCTCTCTCTTTTTATACAAATTATTTTCTTTATATGCATTATATTTAATTTTAAATATAATGCATACTTTATACTGCTTGACCAAAACAAATGAAAGCTATCGTTTTAAAAGTTTTTACAGAAACAAAATATACATAAAAAGCTCACACAAAATTACTAACATATGGAATTCATGTACTGTACTTAATTGCAAAAATATAAGTACTATTCCATAACACCCATTAAATGTTTTACTTCATTTTTCAAACATATGAATCTTTGAAACCAACTGAACTTGACAGTGTCTTGGATATTTTTGTATAAGGCTTTTATCTTCGCTGTGGTTTTCACACAAAAATTATTTGCAATCCAAGGTTAAACACAAGTTTGTTGTAGAACTAGTGACTTCTGTTGTCCATGTCAGTCTTATTGAACATTTCCATTGTGTTGAACATAATTAAGGCGTTGCTAGTTTGTGCTGAAATGTTAAAATAAAGTGGCATTGTAAACTATTGTTGTTTTCGTAACATGGTGGTGTACAGCACTCTTTTGTGTAATGTGGTGTACATCACCGTAGTTTTAGTAACACAGTGGTGGTGTACATCACTGTTATTTTTGTAATGTGGTGGTGTACATCACTGTTGTTTTTGTAATGTGGTGGTGTACATCACTGTTTTGAGTAATGTGGTAGTGTACATCACTTGTTTTGTAACATGGTGGTGGTGTACATGAATGTGTAACATAGTGGTGTACGTCACTTGTTTTTGTAACAAGGTGGTGGCGTACATCACTGTAGCTTGTAAAATAGTGGTGTTGCACATCACTGTTTTTTAATTATTGCTATGAAATACAAACACTGCAGTTTTTTTATGTATTGCTACATTATTCATCACTGTACAGTGGCAATATGAGAATTATGGCTTGGACTGTGTATACTGCTGTGTGTATGCAGTTGATCCTCAGAATATTACATTGCCAACAATTTAAATGGTCAGTAATTCCTGAAGGTTGTTGAGGGACTCACATTTCCTGTGTTTGGGCATTTAGTGATAATCCACCCTGAACTATGATTAATTTTATTCATTGGTTTTGTTATACTGTAATTTGTTATCTCTTGTGCCTGTCTCTTTGTGAATTTGAATTAGGGTGTGAAATGGTATCCACAGATGTTTTAGTGTATTTATAATGTTCTTTGGTGGTGGGACATACCATGTCAATGAAAGAGAATACTTATTGGAACAGTTTTGAGGTGTACGAGTCCAATTGGGGGATTTGAAATTATTTTTGACTACGATGTAATATTCCTTATTTCTTTGGTGCCAGAAACCATGAGACTATGCTGAATAAGGTTGGGGATTCAAATGAATTTTTTCACACATAAAGTAATTAAACTAGTTAGCAATCAAAGTTCCATGTAAATTTGTAAGATGTGAATTTTTTAAATTTTTGGCTCTGTTATTGCTTGAGAGTTATATTTGAAATATATGTTCACTGCTATACATCCAAGTGTAATAAATATTTTGATACAGTGTGCAATAATTTATAACCTTTATTAAATGGGTATTGCCAGTTGGGAAGTGGGATACTTCATAGTTTTGCATTGATTATATTTGTCATGTGGTTTCCACACAGTATCTCGAGAAAGCTACTTCACTTTGGTGATAGTCTCGGTTTCAAATAATTCCTTCAGACATAGCATTTAAGTGTCTTGGAGCAGACTGCACACATTACTGCATAAATTTTGTCTTGTATCCCTCTAATGAGTTTTGAAAACTAAAATACAAACATTCATACAACAGCTTAGGAGTTGGTAGTCTTTTTACGAGTGATTAGACTGCCAATTTGCTCATGAAGAACTTCTCAATATAAAGTGGATTGCCTTGAAAAATAAAAATATCATCTATACCTATATAAGCCCACTTAAATTTTTAATTATTTGCATTTTTCATATTTGCAATGTCCTTATGAGAGAACTATACTGTTTGAAAATCTACATGCAAAACATATATTATCTGTTTAAATTTTTTAATTCATTTTGGGAAGGGAAGGAAGGATCTGCCCTGCTAGGAAAATACTTTTGGTATGCTGCTGTGAATAGGTATACATGGAGCAGACTGGAATAGTTGCCAAGTGTGTATACATGGAGCAGACTGGTACAGTTGCCAAGTGTATATATAACAGTTGCCAGTTGCATATACATGTAGCAGACTGGTATAGTTGCCAAGTGTGTATACATGGAGCAGACTGCTATAGTTGCCAAGTGTGTATGCATGAAGCAGACTAGTACAGTTGCCAAGTGTGTATACATGGAGCACACTAGTACAGTTGCCAAGTGTGTATACATGGAGCAGACTGCTATAGTTGCCAAGTGTGTATGCATAGAGCAGACTGGTACAGATAGTGTTTATGTATAGATTCAATTAGTAAGGCATCAGGTGGTATACATTGAACAGACTAGTGCATGTACCAAATGTGTATACATGCAGCCGACTAGTATAGTTTAGCTTAGTTCATTTAATATACACCCCAACCCATCCTGTGGGCGGTAGTGGAAAGGGTTACAGGGGCACATAATGGGCTTGGGAACTGAACCCCAAAATTCAATGCACATTGTCACGTCAACATTGCTCAAGACATACCATAAGTAGTCTCTAAATTTAAGCAACTGACATATGTGAAGAGCCAGTGCCATAATTGATGTTTATCCTGCACACCACCCCTTAACCAGTGGGGTAATGGTGTAAAGGTTATAATCACCCAGTTACTACCAACAATTAGCAAACTGGGTATATTAGGCAAAAATTTCGGGTAGCATATCATTTTAAATTAAATCTTTACATATTTCTTGAATATTTGTTACAGAATTGTCTGAATTCACGTATCTTTTTGCACTCCATCACATAGTGTCAGAGGGAATGCGAATAATTTAGTTGACAGTTTATATTTGGTTAGGTCTACATCAGCAGGTAATGAAAATTCCCAGTGATACTGTATTTATGGTTGAGTTTAAGTCGAGCAGTAGTAATATCTAAGAATCTGCTGTTTTTATTGGATGATCCATTTATGTATGACTCTTCTTGCAGGATGCAACCTTACAACAGTTAGTTACCTAAGACCCAGGTACCTATTTACTGTCAGGTGAAAGGAAACGTGCCCAACCATTTCAATTGCCCGGGCCACATTGTCTCAATGAAAATAACTGTCAATCAACACTCAATCAAATAACAAATAACTAAATCAAATAATAAATAATCAAATAATTACAATAATAATCACTCAAATAACTGTCTCAATCAAAACAGAAACTTGCACTATAGGATAGCTGATTGTGGAACAGTCCTCCAAAAATGCAATAAAATACTATGAGATCGTTAACCGGTTTAAACGGAATTAAATTAATACATTACTGTATTGTAATCTATATAACATGTACTGTATAAATCTTCTCATAGTACTTTTATCCAAAATAAGAAAATCATGTTGGTTAACTTTTATCAGGCTTAGGAGGTCTCGTAAAAAGTCTTTTTTTTTTGAACTACCGATTGCAACCACACAAACAAGCTTAGGTATTTACACAGCAATGTGCTGCTACTCCTTTTTGTTTTATTATTCTATACACAACAATGAAAGATTACACAGTGTAGATCAAAAACTAGCTATAAGTTCATCTAATATTCCCATCTCACAGGATGGTTAGTCATACATGGAATCAGGGGAGAACATACCTGCCTCAATACAAAAACAAATCAATTCGGACTAAAAATCAGGAGAGAACATAAAATGTATGGCTGATCTATTAGCCTCCACTAGCAAAATCTGGGTACAGCACAAGAATATCTTCTCAAAGTACCTCTTACCATTTGGTCTAAAGTCACTTATAACAGGGCAATCACAGATATAGTGTTGGAGAGTATGTCCTAAGACCTACGGGTTAAGGAGGATAACTCCTCCGCCTATAATGGTAGTGTGTGTGGAACTATCGTATTATCCTTACAAGGTCAGTTATCCTGTTCCAAATGTATGTTATTTCTTGTACATAATCCCATATTTTGATTCTCCGAAGACAAATATTTTAAATCTGAATAAATATAGTAATTACTATACATGGTCTCAATTTCAAAAGATTTCTGTCCTAGAAGTGGGTTCTGAGGCTGTTATGAATATTTTGAGCATACGATATTTAGTAATATAAGTCTCAGTGTTTGTAGTTGGTAGTTGTTAATGAAGTTATTGTTGTAGTGTATGTGGCAGTGGCAGGCGTAGTGATTGTGGGTCGAGCACAGATGATGGGTGTGGGCGTGGTACGGGGGCTTGGGGGGGTGTTAATGGTGGGTGGGTGGGCGTGTTGGGGTCTGGTTGGGGGGTCGACGTGGGCGTGGTGGTGATGACGGGTGTAGGGCGTGCAGGGCAGGGGCGCATCAGTGCGGTGGGGGCCCGGGCTCAGTACAGAGTAGTTGGCTGCCGCGGGCACACGGGTCCGACGGGACAGACGGCACACCCCCAGCAGCTGCCCCCGACGCCGCGCTGCCCAAGGGACGCCGCCGTCGCCGCCCCGCGCCCCACCATGTGGCGGCTCCAAGCGCCCGCCTGGCGGCCTCCACCGCTGCCCTCCCTACTCCTGCTGCTGCTCCTGCTCGCCTCTGTTACGCCATGGGCCGCAGCAGACCCTAAGCCCAAACCCCAAGAAGACTACTACGACGGATATGGCGGCGGTGGTGAGTACTCGTCACTACACACACATCCTGCCTCACCACTACACTAACTTTACCCACGATAATTTACAACTACACTGACCTCAACCATTACCTACACTGACCTCAACCATGAACGATCACCAATACACTAGCCGTACCCATGATTGGTCTCTACACTCATCAGCTATAATTGACCACAGATACACCGGACTTACCTATACACAAGACGATCAAATAAGTCATTACACTGATCTCATCAAATAGGTCATTACACTGATCTCATCAAATAGGTCATTACACTGATCTCATCAAATAGGTCATTACACTGATCTCATCAAATAGGTCATTACACTGATCTCATCAAATAGGTCATTACACTGATCTCATCAAATAGGTCATGACACTGATCTCATCAAATAGGTCATGACACTGATCTCATCAAATAGGTCATTACACTGATCTCATCAAATAGGTCATTACACTGACCCTCACTCGTGAGAAGTCACTAGACCTACCTCGCCCATGTTAGTTCATTATTACACTTGCTCCCAGGCAAAACTAGTTCACCATTACATTGCTTGCTCTTCATAGCAGATTGCAAGACGCACTGCTCAAAGGTCGTACTAGGTCACCAGGTATACGTCCAGATCATACTAGATCTCCAGGTATATTATTAGACCATACTAGGTCATCAGATACACTACCAGATCACAATACGTTACCAGGTATACAAACATGTCATGCTAGGTCACCAGGTATACTATTAGACAATACTAAGTCACCAGGTATGCTTCTATATCATAAAAGGTCACCAGGCACACTGCCAAGTCATACTAGGTCAGCAGGTATACTTCCAGGTCATACTAGTTCACCAGGTATAGTAGTAGTAGTAGACATCCACCAGTCTCAGGAGACTATGGATTTGCGCTCTGGTTGTCGGTCTAGAGTGGCCTCTCCACGGCGCAAAGCCAGGTATACTACAGCCAAATCATAGTATGGGCACCAGGGATACTTCCAGACCATACTAGGTCACCAGGTATACTTTTAGAGCATACTAGGTCACCAGATATACTTCTAGACCATGTTAGGTCACTATGCACACGTCCAGATCCAACCCATCCTCCTGAAAGGATAGTACTGAACTTAAAATAACTGTTTGGTCCCAAGTGCCAATATGTACTGATGGACCGGCTGTAAATCACTTTTTGTACTATTAATTGTATAGTCCGGAAAAAATAAAGCTAAAAACCAAATGTAAATATTCCTAGGCGTAATATAGCACATATATATGTACTATATTAGGCCTAGAATAGCGTGCATTAGTTCTAGAATTGTTAGGAGAGGTTAGGCTAGGTCTTATATTTATATTGCTGTATAAAAGTTTCCGGTTTGTCCAAATTCAATAATACAGCAGTCAACTGTCTGGTGATCCATCACTACTTATTGGTACTTTCCACCAAATAGTTACTATAAGTACTTTTATTTTAGGAGGATGGGCTGGCTAGATAATACTAGATCACCAAGTATACTTACAGGTCATACTCGGTCACCAAGTATACTTTTAGGTCATACTACTATAGGTCATAAAGTATACTTCCTGGTTTCACTAGGTCACAGGTATACTTCCAGATCATGCTAGGTCACCAGATATACTTTGAGTACAGTAGGTCACCATAGGCTATACCGCTCCCAGGTCAGCACCTCACTGCTCCCAGGGGATGCTAAGTTATCACTAAACTCTTCTATACACAGAGAAATCACATTAACGTGATATATCAATGAACAAATCCAACAGGAGCCTTGATGAGGGTTCGAACCTATGTTCGAACGTTCCCAGGCGGGCTCTAGTCAACTGCACCACGACATGGTAAAAGAACTCCAGGTTGCAATTCTTTTTACCATGTCGTGGCGCAGTCGACTAGAGCTTGCCTGGGAACACCCAGCGCATAGGTTTGAACCCTAACCAAGGCTCCTGTTGGATTTATTCACTAAACTCCTCCTTGTGTATATGATGCTACCACTTCACGGTTCTCAGTGTATAATAGGAGTCCATTATATTTTTTCCATGTACATCCATTACATATGGAATTTCTAATTCCTTACCAGATCATCGCCATACTGCTCTCAATCCATTCAAGGTCACAAGAACCAATTTAAAAACCATATGAGGTCACTATGTAAATAACATTTTTTTGGTCACACCGAATCACATTAAACACGGGTACCAATCACACACTGGTAGCCAGCAGCTGATTATGTACTGAATTTCAAAACTGAAAAAAACACTAAACAGCACATTAATAGATATAGCACAGATTCTAATTTCACACATTATTATGTAATAACTAAATTGATATACAGTCTTCTATATAAAACATTTAATTGATTTTATAATACAAGATTATAAAGCATTTTATACAGATTACGTTAAATATATCTAAAGAATACCCCATAAACACTTACTAAAACTACTAACATAAAAATTCCACCACTTTAATCTGTCATACTCTGCCAACATAATATACTATGGTAAACGCCATTATGCCTGCCTCTCGATTATTGGCGATCTTGTTTCCATGTTATAATTCGCAATTTCAAATTGAAATCGACGTGGACTAGACTACGAGGTAAATAATTCACGTTGCGGGTTGAATTCTTGAGAACTAAGCTTTACATCCTAGAACACCAACTTAGGGAAGTTAGGCAAACACAAATGTTCAAGAACACGTCATTATTAATCACTTGACACATTTGTTATCAGAAAAAAATGGCAAAACGTTGACTAATGCAATTTAGAAAAAAAATTAAACAGCAAGCTGGAATTGTTTAGGAAGGTCGATAAATTATTGATAAATTATTATATAATACATAAGGACTAGATTCATCTGTGTCGCAGGCTAATATTTTTTTTATGTCGTCAATTTTCACGAGGTGTAATTTATGTAATTAATGCATCTGAAACTTATCTTACAACAGACGCTTTAAATTATTAAGGGAAAGTAAATCAAATACTACGGTTGACATACAAGGCAAAATTAAGCCTAACAGAATACCAACTTCAATCACACTTCGAATAAAACATATTCTAAAGTAAACCATGAATTAAAGTATCCCCAGTTAGTGTTTTTACTGAGATGTTAGCTGCATTTCTCTGAAGAGTAATGATTTCAATAGCTCCACAAAATAACAAATTAAAGTTAAGCACAGCTGGGAATAGTATTGCTTAACTTGACACCATGGTCGCCCTCTTTCAGGCAGCTGCCACCCACCAGTCACCACCCACCGCCCACAAGCACCCCCCCCCACCCTCCCTCCCACCACTTATCGTATTCATAAACATAGCCAACACTGTCTGGGTTTGCATACAGTTTCATCTCCTCTGACCCTTATGGGGCGAGTTGTATTAACCATTTATATAACTGAGGGGTCTTCTTTACATGACTAGTGTTACAGCGATCTTTCCTCTTACAAAGAACGTCGCATTTCGATGGTATGCGTTACATAGGGCCAAAAATTGTCGTACTAGAAAATGGAAGGGGCTCGCGAAAGTGACGTACTGTCCCGTTTTCTGCTTTAGGCCCTCTGATAGGTTAGGAGAGGACACTTTAAATTGACCGTTTTCTTGACGTTGGGAAACCTTAGGATAACGGGCTGGTTGCAGAGGGTAAATTCTGTTCCATTTACATGATGTCTGTTGACGATAACAAAAATAGGAGTGCTCCTGTTAGCAGGCTCGAAACGTTACACAAATAAGCTCAACATTTAATCATTTATAGAACAATGACATCAAAATTACAACACGTATCCACAATTTATTTGTTTGCTGTTTGTTTACTGTAAAAAATTGACTTTAAGAACATCTTCAAAGCTGGAAGAATTGAATTTGGCACTACTTTAGGTATTTTGTCTTATTCCGCCGTAAAGGAACTCAGGCAGATTTGTTAATGTTTAGTAAGAACGGGTTTAGGTTTCATCCCTTTTATTTGTAACAGCACTATTTCCTGTTAATATATGTTATAAAATGAGCAAACTAGAAAATAACTGCATAATTATCATCAGATAATATTGAACATATCTATAATAATAATAATAATAATAAGACTGGGATTTATATATATATATATATATATATATATATATATATATATATATATATATATATATATATATATATATATATATATATATATATATATATATATATATATATATATATATATATATATAGTCTTATATAACCTTCACAGTTGTCGTGAAGCCTCAGTCTTATATAATCCAAATAGTTATTGTCGCCATTCTTATATAATCCGCACAGTTATTGTCGTCAGTCTTATATAATCCGCACAGTTATTGTCGTTAGTCTTATATAATCCACAGTTATTGTCGTCAGTCTTATATAATCCCCACAGATGTTGTGACGTCGCCACTTTAGTGGTCCTTAACGAGGCAAGTTGTTTCTAACATGCCTGTTCAATGACTACAAAAAATAGGGAGTTATACCACTAACGTGGAGAGTTGTTAACCTAGATCAAATTTAAATAAAAATAGGACATCCCGAGCCGTTAACTATAGCCGTTATCAATTGACATCAATTGAAGGAAAGATTATTGATTATTATAAGTTGATTGTATGCCTACCACTGTGTATGTATATCTACTTGATATTCGTACTTTGATGACATAACTAACCAAATTTAACTTAACCAATACCTAACTTAGCCTAGCCTAACGAAGCCTAGCTTAACCAAACCTCGCCTGTCCTTACTTCGCCTAATAAAGCGCATTTGCTTCGAAAAATAAAATAAAATGACGTTTGCCTAGTCGACCGAGCAGATGGCTCCATCTTGTCTCTCTCTGAACAGCATGTCAACGGTCGACCAATTCAGAGGATATACATTCACTGTGGTAGTTATAGACACTTGATAATCGTAAGGGTGATGGTATTAATACAAATGCATCACATGCTTATGCATTACTTTCAAATTGATGAGAACATTTAATAACCAGTATATATTTGAAAGG